TCTTGTTTGCCATGATGGCCAGAACCTTTGCTTCTATCTTTGAAAAAAACAGGAGTCTGGAAGTTTCTCTGTCCCAAGGGGTTTGCCAGTGAGCTTCAGAACCGGCTGTCTGAAGTGTGGGGGGGTCTTCTCTGGGCTCAGGAGGGCCTTGTGATTTTAGGAGGTCGGGTCACTTTGTTTTGGTTCCTCTTCCTCTCTCTGTAGACTGAGGAGAGATCATCTGACAAGCCAAGGATTTTCAGGGGATTCCCAAACCAGAGTTCCTTGGAGATACTTGGAGACACCTTGGGCCTCCGTTCCAGCCGAGCTCGTTAGTTAATTAACTGCACACAGAGGATTGTCTGTACCGAGAGTCTGACTCAACATAAGAGCCACGAGCAGCTCCCATCCAACCAGAAGGACAAAGTGTGCTGTGCTCAGGAGGGCTTAAGAACTTAAACAGATAGTTACACAGATCCCTGCCGTTTTAAAATGAGCATCATGGACTTACTGTCCAGTTTTTCGCACACCACTACAGAATGCTGTGGGCTTTGGTGTCCTACACAGACTTTCTCTGTGCCAGGCTGCTCGCATTAGACTGGCGCAGTGGGGGACATGTTTAGTTCATGAGGAGAGTGCTATACAGAAAGGTTAAGATCCAGTGAGGTAATGACTTTGGTTACAGGGAGCCAAGAGGAACTGGATGATCTGGCCTGGATCTTTCCCAGGGTCATGCGATGCGTCCGTTACGGTCTAGACACATGCGTGACACATGCAGCTTGCCATGACCTGCCCCCCCCCAGAGCATCTCCCCGTTTCAAGGTCTGATCACATGCAGCGAGAGGATGTGGGGTTTAATCATGAAGACAGAAAGCATGCAAAAAAATCTCCATTCAGACTCCAGCACTACACATACATTATTGCTTAAGAACGAGCATTTGATTTCACTGAGACCATCTAACACTGCTCTTAAGGTCTTTTCTCATAATGCAATTCGATTTTTTGCCTATCATCTAAGGTCCATACTAATAATACTAATAGGCTGGCTATCCAGTCAGAGTCAGAAAATAGATTACACTGCAGAAGTGGGTCCTGGAGGAAATGAGAGGTCTTGCTGCTTAGAGGAGTCATTCTCGGTTGTCCTAGCGTACAAATGGCATAGTTTATTCCTTTCAGGATAAAGCAAATCCTGCAAAATATCATGATTTCCATACTCTACGGAGACCGACCGGGTCGGAATAATCCAAGACTGAACCCAGGCTTGTCGAGGAGACACGACAGCCCAGATGCACGCTAACCCTCGCTGCTATTTCTAAGGGAGAAGAGAAACAAAAAGGAACGTCACGGCCACACAGTGCTTGGTGGTCGTTGGGAACTGTGGGCCAATACAGGCAGAGCGCGAGGACAACAAAGTCTTGCGAACTCTCTACCTGGTGTTAGCCTCTGGCAGTCTGGGAGAAGCCAGCTTCACGTGTTGCTGAAGCTCGTATCCTGGCTTTGTTCTTGAAAGATTAGCTTTTAACTACCAAACGGGCCTGACGGGCTGAAGGACCTCCTCTCGCGTGCCCCTGGTCCCCTCTGCCCCCCTCTCCCTGTACCTGCGAGAGCTCTCTTCCCGGCGGCGTGGTACGCCACGATGTACTTGACTCCCTCCCTCTCCTCGGTCTTGGTCTCCAGGCCAGGAAACAGGGACTTCACCGCCTGGTGCAGCAGGGTGCGTTTCTCCTTCGTGTCCTCCACCACCTGGGCACGAGAGAGGGCGGAAGGGGAGGAAGACAGCGGGTGGAACAAACTGAATGAACCCTGGGGCCAGGGCGGAGAAGAGACTGGGCGCTGCGGGAGAGGCCCGCCTGCCTCTTACCTCTATGGTCACGTTGCCCTCTTTGTTCTTGAAGAGCTGCAGCTCCTCCAGCTGCTGTTTCTGCTCCTCCGTCAGCACGTCCGACACGTCCAGGGGGGGGTCCTGGGAGGAAAAGCACCGACAGCGGGGTCACGGCCATGGCGCCCCTCTGCAGATCTCCCAGTCAGCGGGTCGCTGCCCTTTAGGATGTGGCCCTGAGCCCGCGGGGGCCCCGAGACCGGCTCCTGACAGGGCCAGAGCAGAGCGGCACTCTTCTCTCTCACTCTCACACACACACACACACTTCACGCTTCTCCTCTTACCCTCGGGAACTTTGCTCATGCCAACAAAGCTAAAACAGTATCATACCACTATGCTTCCACAGTGCTATTCTGACAGCTCAATTTCACCTGAATTAGGCGACATTAAGCGACCGTGCTACAAAGAGAGGCATGTCAGTCCTTGGGCTCAGCACCACGCCATACTGCAATTCCAACTCCGATTACAGATCC